AACACCACCAAAACAATAAAAGGGCCCCTAAATAATAAATAAGCCAAGGAAGTGACATACCACTTTTCTATGGGACGTATAAACATGCGAAAATAGTGTAGATCCGTCACTGTTGTTGCTGTGCATGGTCAAAATATCCATAAAAGATACTACAACAGCATAAAGTAGGAGGGAAATTTGAAAACTGAGTCAAATAGAATCATTTGATTGAAGCCGATGAGGTTCAGCAGGAGCAGCACGTGCCTTTGGGCTGATATCACAGCTGTACAGTTGCTAAATGAAACACAGCGCCCACTTTGCACTGTAGTACTCAGATCTGTTGTTTTGATTGCAAAGTTGACACCCCGTCTCTGCACAGATGCTTCTTTGTTTGCGTCAGAGAGTGGGATGTGAGAAGTTGGTCGCTCTGGAGACAGATATCACAAGAGCACCACACAGCTTTACTCTGAATCTGTACAAAACACATCATGTGAACACTCACATTCATGCATGGACAGAAAGGAAAACCACTTTCGAGTGCTTTTACAGTGTTCGATACTGCACATATGTCATCGTGCTGAGTGCAGACCCTTTCAGCTTTAAGAGTATATTCATAAAGCAGCTCTTAGTGGAGTTCAACTCTCACAGGCACCCACGCCAGGTCAAAGAGCGCTGTACATACTCCAACAACATACTTAATGTGCAGTGCTTTTAATAGAACACACATTACATCCTGAATGGGTTCTCTGAAATGTTTACTGACTCTGATTTTAAATCATGAAACATATAGTGATATTTACATCAAAAAAATTACATTACAAGTATAGTTTCTGGTATGAGTATAGGATAGTCAATACCTGTGTTTTTTCAGTTTATCAATATAAAGTAGTTGTTAAATTAAGCAAAATGAAAAAATATTTCTTTCTTTACTCATATATTTTCTTGCAATTATACATTTTTTAAATGAATATTTTGTTATGTATTTGACAGTGATATATAGCCATAACAAAAGTATTTTTTTGTAAAATTACAGAAAAAGCAGCTAATTTTGCCAACAGAAAATCATTTATTTTTACGGTTAGTTTTGTTAAATTCGCATTTAAAAACTGCTAAAAAACAGATAAATAATGTATTCCATTTCTGCATTTTTTTTTTTGTTAAAATAATACATGACACATTTCAATAAACCGTTTATTCTTGTAAATTGAATATGATTTCCTGTAATCATGAAATACAATAAAAAACTATTTTTTACTGTAAAAAAACCGTTTTTTTACAGTGTAGCATATGGGTGAGTATCTGCTACATAAGAGAAATGTAACTGCTTTAGAAGAATAAAGGAACGAAAGCATATTTTGCAAAACAAAGCTATTCAAATATGCTGTTTTTTTTCCGCTCCCACATCAGGACCATCAGTAGGTTTCTTGGAAATATAAGGATTTGTTGTTTGGTTAGGTTTGGATTCTAATATATTTCTAGACTGATTTACATTGTTTTCCTTTCATCTTGCAGACCAACAACCATTACAGGATGAAACAGGTATTTCAGAATCATTGGAGATAAAGGACTGGGCAAAAAGCTCAGGAGATCTAAATAATAAAAGCATGAAATAAAAGCGAGAAAGCATAGTCTGTGAAACTTTGAAGCATAACTTCAACTGAGTCTGGATTTATAGGTGGCCTGAACCTTTCAGACGAGGTGATTTGTTGTCAGCTAAGTGCATTGCTCGGAGACACAATTACAGCAAATATCAAAGAATGAAAGGCTCAAAAAGCATATCACACATTCACCTCAAGACAAGATGTTCCCAGCTAAGACTCAAACTGACACCCCGTCTGCTTTTACCTCTGCGGCCATCAGTCTGCTGTCACCCTGCTCCTCTTTCTTGTTGAAAATAAACACATCCTGGCTGTCTGCCATGAGCAAGGGCACAGGCCGCCTCGGGCTCCACACCAGAATCAATACAATAATACGATTCTAACAAGACCTTGATGGTCTATGGAGACAGCTGCTCAAATTACTTTAATGGTTTCCGCTGTCATGAACAATTCACTCCTGCCCCTACGATCAAAACGGGTATTCACAACAGGTCTATAACAGCTGACGATAGCTGACAGAATTTTAGGAAAATACGCCCAAATTGCTGCCTTTAAATATCACAAAATGGTGGGTTGTTAATCTTGACAAAGGGTACAAATATTACAATTCATCGTTTCCCTTCACATGGATTCAACACTTTGAGTCACAGTTGCATTATATTAGTCACAGTCGTGAGTATAAAAAATACAGCTATATACTTTATGTTGGATTATTACTCATACAAGCTTGCATCATCGCTGGATGCCACTGTTGTTGAACAAAAGGAAGAAACTCAAACTTGAAAGAAAATAAAGTTGAAAATACTAATTTTCTCATCATTGGGGAATGGACTAACAACAATCTAATGACCTCAAAACATCTTAGTAAGTGACACACAATCAAAAATAACTCAAGGAGCATCACTTTGAAGCTCTGCAAGGCACTAAACATATAAATAACCACTAAACATGGAAAAGCAGCTTTTAGTTATTATGCCCCAACAATTTGGAACAAATTGCCCAAATCGTGCACGTCCGCTGAAACACTTCCTATTTTTAAATCCAGATTAAAAACGCACCTATTTGCCGCTGCTTTTAATTGAGCTGCCCATACTCACACTACAGTATGCCTTTTTTAGTCATGTATTCTGTACCTGCTGTGTTTATTTATTTATTTAATTTCATTATCTTTGCTTTATATGCCTCTTTTTAAATGCCTTTTTAATAATTTACTTATGCTGTATTTGTTCTTAAATGTCTTTTGCTTTTAATCTCTAAAGCACTTTGAATCGCCACGTGTTGAAAAGTGCTATATAAATAAAATTGCCTTGCCTTGCCTAAACAGACAGTATCTGTTTTCCACTGTTTTCGCGGTATGAGCCTGTGTTTCTGTTAGGACTTTGGGTACAGTCTAATGGGAAAAGATTCCATCACATGTATTGCAAGCGACGCTATTTAGCGCCCTGTGGGAAAGTAGGCGTCTGATTACAGTGTTATCACCACGCACTGAACATTGAACAGCTAGTGGGCTGGCAGCAGATTATCAGACAGGTGGGTTATGACTTCGGAGTTGATTAAGGTTTAATGATATCAGTTGGAAACAGGATGGCTTCACCAGCAATGCCGATGGCTTCACCAGCAATGCCGATGCCTCAGTCCCTCAGTGATTGTTTGAGTATAGTTCTAACAGTGGTGAACCGTGTCTATCACAACTGGACCACTGTAGACACACACACACCCCCCGCCACCGCCGTTATAATGTCCGTCTTTTCACTGAATTGTCGTCTTGAAAAGGGTATTGACACCAATTCCGCAACAACATCATCTTCACCTGTTGCCATTTCAACGTTAAAAACAATAACACTTCAAATGAATTGCTACATCGCATTTATCTAGATCCTCTGTCTCGAGCCAGTGAACTACCGGGCCTTCTAGAGTAGCCTACCCTGGAACCGAGGGAAACTCTGAAAGAATACGCCCATTGGCTACAAATCAATATCTGATTGGTTGATCAAACTGTCAANAATGTCTCCGGCTCGAGTACAACACATTCACATACAGCCTGCAGGTAACAATGAAATGAAGGATACTTTATTTTGGGTGATAATACTTTATAGTTAAATAAGATTTGTTTTTTAGGTAGTAGGATACACACTAGTCCCTGTGTTATTTTCATCCTAAATACCTCAAGTTTTTTTCCACAGTCCTGGATGCTCGGTATAGGGAGAGTAAGATTAAGCGTTCTAAATATTTCACAATTTCCGTTTTTCTTTATATTTTTCTCACAAATGTACATTCTCACACTCTCTGTCTCAAATTACAGACCTGCTCCATTGCCCTGCTTGATGGGTTTCTTCCCCGCTGTGAGATATGTGTAATATAAACCTGATATTGAAGAAGGGCAGGAATAGTTCCAGTATCTGTGGCAGAGTCGGTTGAGGTGAGAGACCTCACTTGACCACAGCAGATTTGAAAGACCACAGTTTCCCTGCTAAACCTAAAGAACATTTGAAATAGAAACTGTATATAAGTAAGAAGCTTCTGAGAAATCCCACATCAGAAGCCACTGGAGTGGAGGAAGTGGAGGTTGGATACACATTCAAAGAGATCAGTTTAAACCAGGGGTGTCCAAACGTTTTCCACCGAGGGCCACATACAGAAAAATATACGAAGGGCTGGCCCACTCCCTAGAGGTATTTTGCCTCATAAGTTAAGTTTTAAGTCAGCAAACTCAATCTAATGTAGGTTGTTTGAAAATGCTTTAAGAAACAAAACAGCCTTCATCACAGCCCTCCAGAGGGTTTCATTTATTATGTTGGCAACTCATTCCTTAAAACAGGGGCCTCAGATCGCTTATTATTAGTGGAAATATGAAGGGTATATTTTACACTTGTTTTACAAATAAGTTATTGGGGTTTTTCTTATCAAGTTAGATTTGTTATGAAATGTTTCCAACTTTAATTGACTGGATTTATTTAAAAAGTGGGCTTATTAACACATAAATACAGTGTAATGTTTACATATATATGTAAGAAGTACAATACAAGACAAGCACAAGTTTAATTTGTGGGCCATATTCCATTATACTTTCAGAATTGGCCTAGGGCCGATTCAAAATGGTCCGCGGGCCGCATTTGGCCCCCGTGCCGTAGTTTGGACACCCCTGGTTTAAACGTTTATAGTACAGGTTTGATACAATAAATTATTGTATCAAACCTGTACTATAAACGTTTAAACCAGGGGTGTCCAAACTACGGCACGGGGGCCAAATGCGGCCCGCGGACCATTTTGAATCGGCCCTNGGCCTGTGTTCGTCGTCCATAACATACGCCTGCCCATACCATAACCCGACCACCACCATGGGCCACTCAATTCACAACATTACCCTAACCCTAACCCTAACCCTAATCCTACCCCTCACACCAGATACTGACTGGTTTTCGGACCCCCCCAGACCCCCCCAATAAAGCAAAACTGCACGTTTCAGAGTGGCCTTTTATTGTGGCCAGCTTAAGGCACACCTGTGCAATAATCATGCTGTCTAATCAGCATCTTGATATGCCACACCTGTGAGGTGGGATGGATTATCTCGGCAAAGGAGAAGTGCTCACTATCACAGATTTTTTCAGATTTGTGAACAATATTTGAGAGAAATGGTTATTTTGTGTATATAGAAAATGTTTTAGATCTTTGAGTTCATCTCATGAAAATGGGAGCAAAAACAAAAGTGTTGCGTTTATATTTTTGTTCATTGTAAAATAGATAGATAGATAGATAGATACCTTTTTTTTATTCCAACATTGGGAAATAAAATATATGTGGGGGAAACTTCTGTGTAGCAATGCAGGAGGAGTCACCGACTCAGGAAGGAGACACGGGAAGAGCAGGAGCTTTGATGTCAAACACTGATGGTTTATTTGGAGCTTCGGCCGGAGAATTCACATCACAAGTCCAAGAGCCAGAGGTTCTGACTTCACGGTAGAGTTGCCACGTCAATTCTGAAGAACTCTACCCCAGACCCATGTATTTAGCTAGTTCAGAGAGAAGAATCAACATGCTGCATAACAAGATAGAATCATAACACCTCTATCAGCTGACGCCAACAGGCAGGAACAGGGAGACAGAACACTGAGAGCACAGCAGCCAAGGTTACAGGTGCGTGTGCTCAGTCAGGACAGTTTGAACTGATAAACTGGGTCAAAGTTATGGACCTTGGAAAAATATTTCCCCAACAATATATATTTTATATTGTGATCTGATTGCTGAAAATGTAATTCTACAAAAGACCCAGATAAGCCTTTATTCTCAGAGGACTCGGAGTGTAAATAAAAGATTGCAATGCTTCAATCCCTCATAGAAATATGAATAAACCAGCATACACAATAGATGGATATAATACAAATGCAAAAAAGAACATTATTTCAGGAATAACCCCTGGCAGTCCCATCCTAAATCTCCTAGCCTGATGTGATCTACAGCAGAGGGATTCAGGCTCTGCAGGGGGTGGGGCTACTGAAAGAGAGCGAGGTCTCAGGAGGAACGCTTACCCGAGATGACACATACAGTACACCTACACACACATTCAAGTGCACACCAAAGCATCTATACATACCACACATTCCACTGTTTCCTCTAAACATACTGTATAGAGCCTGTTGTACGACTACAGATGCAGCTTCATATTGATCTCATACTGCAACAAACAAGAACTAGAACTAACACTGGGCCAAAGAAGGTCTACAAATATTGAACCAACCCAGGGTTGAAACACTTTCATATAGGAGAATATCATACATCCAGAAATGTTCTTGTTCTTGGTGATGTTCAGTAGTCCATCAGTTGTTTGACTTTTAGATGCATGCAGAACTTTGGGATGGATTAGAAGCATCTATACACACCACAGTCACCACGGGGAATACGTCTATTTCAACCATATCATTATCATTTATAATAATGGATTTTGGTTTGGTGGTTTTAACACTTGTTTTGACAAGCTTTGACCCTGATTATTACCCCCCACTAAATGAGCGGCCATTTCAGGATGAGTAAACTGAGCCTTTTAAAACAACAGTTAGGCATGTAGAGAAACTCTTGGCTCAAGGGTACACAAATAACCAGCAATAGTTAACTCACCATTTGTGAGTTCTTGGGTGTTGTTTCCTTGGCGGTGTTGATATTTCTATTTGACATTTATTTGTTTCGGTTGATTGGATGGTGGTTATGTAGAGAGAGTTGGATTATTACGATCATAAATATGACATTAATGAGTAACAGGGACATACATTCCTAAACCTAATGGTGTGTGTGTGTGTGTGTGTGTGTGTGTGTGTGTGTGTGTGTGTG